TTATTCGTTGTATATCCAAAGGTAACACCTGTAACTAGAAGGTATGAAACCAAGATCGCCCAGTTTGTAATAAAGCAGAGAGAAACATTGCTGACATTCCGAACTGCGACAAGAGAATGTGTTGCTGTTCTGAAAATGAGAGATGACCCTGAGGTAAAATCTATCGGTTTGGTCCAAACTTACAATCAGAGGGGCAACATTACTACTGTGTTTCGAAAGATCAAGAAAAGATAAGATCGCCTCTTCGTAGTTGACAGCAACGTAGCGGGAATCATAAGAGATGCATTGTTGTGAGTCCGGGTGAATTACACAAGGGCACTGAAAGTATGAGTTTTGCATGGTAGTGAAAATTTTAATTGAAAGATCGAGTCGGACATTCTCAGGTTTCGGGGCCTGGTAAGCCTGGATTCAAAAAAGTTGTAAAAAGTATTGTTAAACAATTCTTTGCAAATTTTCAAAACAAACATTTCTTTTATAAACTGTTTTATATTTCGAAAATCTTTTTGAAAAGACAAGTAAAACATTTCTGAAAACCCGGACCGGGTCGAGAAAGTTCTGCAAAAGCCCAGCCCGGCAAGTATGGAAGAAAGTCTGAATAAAATGTTTCAAATCTATTTCCAGATTTTTGTGGCTTATATTATTCTTGAACTTCTACATTCTCAAAATCGATTTTTTTAATTTTTCTCGGATAATTTTTTTTAAAAGTCAACTTATTGTCATTTTCTTTATCTCATATTTAATTTTCGCAAGAATAACGTTTTAAGAAACTCATTAATATTTTGATAATTTTTTTTTCTATGACGAACATTCGAAAAAAAACCCCAAATTTCATCTTTCAAAAAATCTGTTCGTTCTGTGACGTAACAGCCTCTTGAAATATATATGTAGTATTGGAAAGTACCTGTTGAATTTTATTTCCTCGTGTCTTTTGTCGAACCACGTCTTGGAAGACTTCATTTGTCACTTGCCGTTTTGCCACGTGTGCTTTGGAGAGAACAATGAGAACTGAGCAACAGATGATGAGCACCACAAGCCTCATCTACATTTACAACAGTTGCAGACGAATATTAGTACTGAAAAAAGAACTATTTCAGTGAAAGGTCAGAAAACGAGGTTCATGTAGAAGGTGTAACAAAATGAGAAGATGGAACTTGTCTTGCATGGTTTCTATGATTTGTTCTACAGACGAAAAATTAGCAAGGACAGATGAGTAACTGGAAGACTAGGCGGTTAGACAAAGAAGGATGGAAAACAGAAAAATTTTAATATTTAGCGAATCTTCGAAAATATGACATCAAGTTGTTTGGAACTGTTCGCCTAACATTTTAGAGAACTCGTAGAAGAGAGAAAAAACGGTTTGACAAAAGTCTTCGATCATTCATCATTCCATTTTTTCACGCCTTTCCGCCAAAACGACCCCAATGAGTGAAAAGGCACTTCGAAGATGAAGCGTTAGTTCAAGTGACGTCTCTCATTACTATAGATGATGATCAGGCTTTTGAAACTGGAATTACACATACACAACACACCTACCATGCGCTTTGCAACGGCTTGTTTTGCGGGTGTGTGTAATTTGGTAAAGCGAATATGTTTCAATTGGGGCTTTTTTGAATGGGAGATGTGAAAAAATAGAAAATTGAGAACATGTCAGGCGTCGCATTCATTTCAGTGGTCTGGTTTCCTAAAATTTGTTACATACATTCTGCTAATTTGTTTTTGATAGACAAGAAGACCGCAACGTTACTTTCTTGGCGCCAGGATGGCAAAAATACCGGGAGGTAAACACTTCAGCGTTTTGTACTTCTAATTGGTAGTCGAGAGTTTGCAAAAATTTGAGACGACCACACATACACGGTCATGTCAGAAAAATTGTGAGAACACAGTTTCAATTTTCTTCGTTGTCTCTTCTTGATACTTTGATTCAACAACCTTGAAATGTCTGCAGCACTCATATTCTTGAATCTTGAAAAATTAGGAAACAGGCGGGTCGTAACGGGTAGTAGACAATTGGTGAAATGGTTTTAGGGCAGCGTAGACTTCAAAAACCAAATTTCAGATTTTTCAAAAAATCTTGTTAACTTTGTAGTCTGACAAGTCTAGTCTACGTGGTCGCTAACTTTATTTATGTCACTGGAAGTTAAACAACAACAATATTTTGGCTAAATGAAATATTTCTAAAAATAGCTTTTAATATCGGCTCAAAAACTATATTTTGTAAATGTATTGTTTTACTTCTTCCATCAAAACAAAACATTTTATTCTATTACAGTAACCACAGTACCATATAAAACAGTTTTTGTTGCGAATGGTCAATTCTGGATGTTTAAAAAATACGTAGGTTTGGTTGAATGTGTCTACAAATTCCACTGATTAAAAAATAAAAGATTTGATTTTGTTGTTGGCAACTTTTTAGTACGAATTCATCCGAATAAGATAGGCCTTTAGAACTTTGAACTTCTTACTATTCCTGTACTTTTTGACATCTTGGTGGTTTTAAGCAATATTCCTTGTTTGATTATTCGTACAAAAAAGTTGATAACTACAAAATTGAAGTTCTGTTTTTGTTTAGTAAATCTGAAATGTATTTTTTTCATTTGCTGCTCTGTATAGCCAAGCTTCTTGGTCATCAGCATTTCCCAGTTTTGTCCAAAATTCTATCTTCAAATCTTCCCACTTTAAAACAGCTTCATTGGGGGAAAAAACTTATTTTGCGTCTTGTTTATAATTCCATCCGTAAAACGTCCTCTTCATCTTCATATAATCTTATATGGCGTGACACACACATTTTTTCTTCCCATCATCATCTTGAGCCACATCTTCAGGGACAGAGAAAAAATCCAGAGACGCCAGACATGTGGAGCCGTGGAGAAAGGAGAGTTGTGTTGTTGCCTGACGCATACACACCCATTACCTACGTCTTCCTGAAAGCGCCGCCCCACAACTGGCAATCTTGGCTCGTCTGCGACGTTTTCAATTCGGATTTTTTCTTGGATTCACATATTCTGTGTATTGTTACATCTAGTCGGATTCCAAAATGGTCAACAATCGCTCGGTGAGAACTCGTTGGTTGGTTTTCCTTTTTAAACTGTATTGAATTTCAGCGTGAGGTCATTTCTATCCATGTCGGACAGGCTGGTGTCCAGATGGGGAATGCGTGCTGGGAGCTGTATTGTTTGGAGCATGGAATTCAGCCTGATGGAATGATGAACGAGGAGGATAGTTTGGGTAAGAAATTTTCTTTTCTTGTTACAGTACAACCCAATTGTTTGTTTCTCTGAACTTTTTATTTCAGGAGTAGAAGACGACTCATTCAATACATTCTTCTCTGAAACGATGGCTGGCAAGCATGTGCCACGTGCGATAATGGTGGATTTGGAGCCGACCCCAATTGGTAAGAATTGCGGCAACGACAGCCAAAAGAGAGTGTCGAGCAATTATGTACGCGCGTGCTTGCTTGACAAAGGCCTTTTGGTAGTGGGCCCAAATTGTGCATGCGGAAAACGATCATTGTCTTGATTGATGCTCTATATATGGTGTCGATTATGAAGCTATTAAGAACAATTGGAGCGTGTGTTTTGGGGGTGAATAGGTAGGAACGGAAGATTAGTATGAGATGAGGAGAATTGAGATACGATATGAGTTGCATACGAAATGAAAAAGTTCAGGAAATAATAGGAAGGGTTACAAATATTTCGAAAGCAAGAAATCGAATTTGAAAAGCATTTTTACGAAATTCGTTGGACTCTTTTGATAATTTAATCATCCCCGAAAAACCTGAGATTGTATTCATGAATATTTTCTCTCCAAAAATCAACTGGAAAAAAAATGAGAGAAATTCGTTCTCTTTCCGAAACATCCTCTTTTTTCATGTATTAAGGATGCTAATTTTTTCATGTTTACACTCAATTTCACAATATTTTTTTTCTCTAACACGGGAACCACTCCATATGTTACCCGGGGATTCGGATGAAACCTATCCTAAATAGTAGTACACAGTCTAGCTAGAACAACCCCAGAATTATAGCTGCCGTCGTGAAGGTCTATTCAAAAGACGAGGCATTTTATGATTTTTCGTGAGTTTGGAGTCGGTACCCTTCGAGCAACCATAACTTTGTTCATTTTTACTGTAGACGTTCAAACTATTTTTTTTTTCAAAAGGTGATAAGTTGGCAGCTATAATTCTGGGGCTGTTCTAGCTAGACTGTGTACTACTGTTTAGAATAGGTGTCATCCGAATCCCCGGGTAACATATGGATTGATTCCCGTGTAAGATGTAATGCAATGATAGTATAATCAGTCCATTATTATCTAGTTTCAAACCTAAAAATAGCTGAAATTCGACTCAAAAACGATGTTTTCTGATACAAATTACATAAAAGGATAGAACACAAATTTTCAAATAATGTGTCAAATCCGAGAGGTTTTCATTTTACAGTTTGCATGAAATTTGGTTCAAACGTCATTTTCTGACTCTGTCAATCGGAAAATCATCAAAATAATGTTCAATTCATTTTTATATTCCCTGAATAATGGTTTTATTGGTCTGGGAATGTTAGACATACAATAGCATAAGTTCTCTGCTTGTGTTTTGCCTTGACCATCAAGACCTAGATAGTTTCAGACAGTATTCAACCTTTTCTACTCCAAATGGCTATTGAATATACTTATTTACACTTTGAGTAACAAGGGGGAACAAAATAGGGCTGAAACAACTGTCCAAAATAAAAATGACAATTGTCCTTTACTAAAAGATCAAAAAACGAAAGCTTCAGAAACGTGTCCAAGCAAATGAAGGATCGTTTAGACTTTAATGCTGCCTTTTGTAGTTTAGCGCTGTTTAATCCTCCCTCCTTTTCTCCTGACAAATCGTAATCGTTCAATTAGTTTTTCTAACAGCCACTTATCATCCGTCCAATCACCGTCTGAGATCATATAGTCGCCATATGTCTCTATATCCTGAAAGACTCATCAAAAAACTATCATTTACAGACGAAATTCGGACTGGAACGTACAAGACCTTGTTCCATCCTGAACAGCTTCTCACCGGCAAAGAGGACGCTGCTAACAACTATGCCCGTGGCCATTATACAATCGGAAAAGAAATCATTGACGTTGTTATGGATCGTGTACGACGTCTCGTCGAAAATTGTAGGGGACTTCAGGTATGAATTCTAGTTGTTTTCCATATAACAATAGCTATACACACTACATTTTCCAGGGATTCTTGGTGTTCCATTCATTTGGTGGAGGAACCGGAAGTGGTTTCACCGCTTTACTGATGGAACGATTGTCGGTGGACTATGGAAAAAAGAGCAAGCTAGAGTTTTGTGTTTACCCGGCTCCACAGGTCTCGACTTCAATGGTTGAACCATACAATTCAATTCTGACCACACATACTACTTTGGAACATTCTGACTGCTCCTTTATGGTGGATAATGAAGCGATTTATGATATTTGTAGAAGAAACTTAGACCTCGCTCGTCCAACTTACACAAATCTGAACCGTTTGATTGCTCAGGTAACACTACTGAACTAATAGGTTTTTTTCTCATGACTTATATTTCAGGTTATCAGTTCTGTGACTGCATCATTGCGTTTTGACGGTGCTTTGAATGTGGATCTCACTGAATTCCAAACCAATTTGGTGCCATATCCAAGAATTCATTTTCCACTGACCACATACGCACCAATCATTAGTGCTGAGAAAGCGTATCACGAGCAAATGACTGTGAGAGAATTTCAAAAATTCTGAAAATTATTTGATGTTTTTAATTTTAGGTCGCTGAAATCACTCAACAGTGTTTCGAACCAGGAGCGCAAATGGTGAAATGTGACCCGAGAAGAGGAAAATACATGGTGATATAATTTTTGACATCAGCATTTTTGAAACAATGGTTCTTTCAGGCTTGCTGCCTTCTTTTCCGTGGAGATGTAGTTCCAAAAGACGTCAACGCTGCCATCGCTTCAGTGAAGACAAAACGTTCAATCCAATTTGTCGATTGGTGTCCGACTGGATTCAAGGTGACTTTTTAAATCACTTTTTCTTATCATCTTGTGTTGTTTCCTTCCTCAAATCACAAATCACAAACCTACAGGTTGGCATCAACTATCAACCACCAACTGTGGTCCCTGGTGCGGATCTCGCGAAACTTCAACGAGCCGTGTGCATGCTCTCAAACACAACAGCCATCGCCGAAGCATGGGCTCGTCTCGATCACAAGTTTGATTTGATGTACGCCAAGAGAGCATTTGTTCATTGGTGAGTCACAAGAGAAAGAAGAAGAAGATTCTTGGATGAAAAAAATTGAAGAGCAGAAATAATATGACGCAATTCTATGTTCTTTTCCTTCAGGTATGTCGGAGAAGGAATGGAAGAAGGAGAGTTTAGCGAGGCTCGAGAGGATTTAGCTGCGTTGGAAAAGGACTACGAAGAAGTTGGGTTGGATGCAGGAGAGCCAGACGAGGAGGATGATTACAGTCATTATTGAGAATATTTTTATGATATTGGTAAAAAACATTATAGTGAATTGTATGGAAAAAAATGCGAAGGACTTTATTGTCGTGAAATTTTAAATTTAAAGCTTGAGTTGTAGAGTTTTTTTTTCAAATAAATTATTTCTAGGGAAAATCTTCAATATTTACTGAAAAAAAAGTTTGTACTAGAATTGTTCCAAGAAGACGGAAAAAGTTTTCAGATTTCATACAGTTTATGTATTCTAAACTACCAAGATTTTCCACATGTATTTTCAGGTTACAAACAATATTGTGATTCTTGATAATAAATTCTGTTAAAAAAATAAGTTTTTGTTTGAAGACTAAAAAATATATATTAAGTGGCAGAGATATTTTTTTTCAAATTGAATTTGATTTTTCAAATTTCTCATTGAAATTAAATTTACTTTATTTTTAATATTTTCATTAAAATTTTGAAATTCAAGTTTTAAAGATACAACATTTTCAAACATGCTAAAATTTTCTTTCAAAATCTATAAAACATGGTGAAGCTCAGACAGTGTGAAATTGAGTCGAGTACAGAAAATTTGAAATTTGGGAAAAATATTGACATTAAAAGTTGGGATTGTGTTCAGCGATATGGAAAAGTGTGTAATGAAACAACGGTTTTCTTCAGATAAAAATTCCAAAATTTTTGTTTCAGAGTTTTTTCATATAGATTCATAGATCCAAAGATTTTCCCTTTCCACACACGACCGTTAGAGATGGACGAGTTTTATTTGTTCAGGATTTTCCCAATCATGCCATATTTTCAATTTCCAGTACTTCCACACCAAACTGTTATAAATTATTAGTGCTCCCATCAACCTTGCTTACTCCTTGATTATCAATTTTCTCCGATTTATTTGCGAAAATCATCTTATGCAATGAGATGACGGTACAATAACATACTGATAACAATTCTTCTTCCATTTTTATCATTTTGTTCACCACACCACCAATTCCCCGTTTGTTCACAACCATATTGTACGATTTTTGAGCAAGCAGTTTTTTCCCTCACATTTTTTTGTATTTTGTGCTCAGAATGCTCACAAATCCAGAGCACATCCAATTTCCTAGGTTAATTGATGCAAGACAGATGCTCCTGAGAAGTGTCTCGGGTCGCGTCGTATGTGTCCCATATAATAAATCAAGATTGAGAGAGAAAGAATGTAGATAGATAGAACCCCTCCAGCTCGTTGAGATTTTATCCCTCTTCATTGTCCATCAGTTATCTGGATACTCGTCTGTTGCTCAACATGAAACTGTATTTGGCTTTATTCTGTGTTTGCTTTTTAGCAGCAACGATGGTCGAGGGGGCTTCCGAGATTCCAGAAAAGTTCTTCGGAAAGTATGATTTGGATAAGAGTGAGAACTTTGACGAGTTCCTTGCTGCCAAAGGTGGGTATCCAACAAAAAAATTTTTCGAAGCTCAGATGAAAGCAAGAATTTCAGGAGTTAATTGGCTTGTGAGACAGATGATAAAGTTGGCCAAAGTCACCAAGGTTCTTGCCAAGAATCCAGAATCGGGGTAAGTGTAACTGGAACAAGTTTTCCAGAAAGGTATTTTGTACAACAGATACAACATGGAAAACCTCACGTCCAAGAGAAACACGCAATACCACGGATGGCAGCTAGGAAAGACTTTCGAGGACGATGGACTTGACGGAGAAAAACACAAGGTATACAAAATTCGAGACTAGCTCGCTTTAGTCAAAAAATTTCAGATCACATTCGACTTCAAAGATGGTGTCCTCTCGGAGCACCACATCCGTCTCAACGACCCCGACAACAGCGCCGAGACCTACTACTATACCATTGAGAATGATCAGCTTGTGATGGTAAGGACTTTGTACTCCTCTTTGTATCCTTTTTGTGATTTGTTCCGTTTTGTTAATTGAATCTTTTTTCAGAAAATGGTCAACAATGGAATCACGTGCCGTCGTTGGTTCAAGAGATCCAAGAAGTAAAATGCAGTCTGATTTTTATAATTTGTTTCTGCAAAATTTGTTTATTTCAGTTTTTTCCTTTCTCAATAAACTTTGTTTTCTTCTAATTTCATATAAAAAATTTTGTGTCTTCTCTTCTCTTCATAAATTTTCCAAATCATTGAACATTATCTGCTGATCAAACATTGGGAGACTAAAAAACGATTGGGTACAGAGAATGTGGATGAGAGGTCTGTTGTAGTCCAATAGAGATCAGATTGATCATAGTATGCATGAGACCCTCTGGGGAAAAAAAAGATGACCCGGTCCGGTAGCCTTTAGTGCTATTGTTTACTGTGTTTTGGTCAGCTAATCTATTGTCCATCCATCATCGGTATCTGCTGCCCACAATCAAACTACAGACGGAGACAACGGATAAGAATCTAGTGTATGGGAAGAAGGGTGGGAAAGTGACGTTTGGCCAAATATCACCTTGATATGGAACTTGAAGAAAATCATGTAGTCCATCATTCGCTCTTTTAGCAATTTAGCTCATCAGTTTTTTCTGTCATTCTTTTTCGACATCTGGATCTTCTTCCATTTGGTTTTTTATTTCATGTGTTTCACATCCCACGGACCAACATCAATCGTTTACCACAGCACACATTTTTCTCTAGTCCTTTCTCTGCGTCTCTTCAAAATCTCACACTATTTCTAGTTGACCCTTTTCTATCGAGTCCGTCATGATAATCTGCAACGCAATCGACATGTGGCCCTCTGCACTTAGTGTGTTTACCACTGTGCATGGGGGCGGAGTCTAGATTGTCCGTCGTCGACGCAGCCAGCGACACCGTCTTCATCGTCAGTCGTTCTTTCACCGACCCAACCGATCATGTGTGCCAAAATCGCTCTTGCCGTTTTTGTCCTCGGAGTTGCTACCGCGTCGGCTGCTAATCTGCCAGACAAGTTTTATGGAAAGTACGACTTGGATCACTCTGAGAACTTTGACGAGTATCTCACTGCCAAGGGATACGGATGGTTTACTCGCAAAATGGTCACTTTGGCCACTTTCAAGAAGGAGTTCACCAGAACCGGTAGCAAGACCCTCTTTGACTACTCCAACTTGACCTCGAAAAAAGACGTCCACTACAAGAACATCGAGCTCGGAAAGGCTTTCCAAGGAGAGGGACTTGACAGCACCAAACACGAGGTTCGTTTTTTCTTATTTTTTGAAAAGATTTTTAGGCCTATCAAAAAAGACTCCAATTAATGCTTTTGTTTTCAGATCACCTTCACCCTTAAGGACGGACACTTGTTCGAGCATCACAAGCCACTCGAGGAGGGAGATGCCAAGGAAGAGACCTACGAATACTTGTTCGAAGGAGATTTCCTTCTCGTGGTCAGTTTTTCATTTGGTTGAAGGATTGAAGTAGATTATGGGGATTTTTATATTGTTCAGACTTTGAGAGGGATGTAAAATATTGAACTTGGAATTTTGACATTCTAACTAATTGTTTTCCAGCGCATGATCTACAACGGAGTCGAGGGACGCAGATACTACAAGAGACTTCCATAAATTTCAAATTACTGTGATTTTTGCTGCTTTTTTGAATTTTCAAACTTTTAAATGAATATGAATTATGAACTATTGCAATAAATAAAATAATTTTCAAATTTAAAACATATTCTTCTGGCGTTTTCACATAAGATTGAATGAGGATATTGCAGCTAGTTTTTGAGCCCATTATACAATCATGTAGACAAATACAAGGATAGTGCTCTCAAAGTTGTGGTTTCATTTCCTGAATTCAAAAATTGATGTTAAACTTTTATTGTCAACAATGTTGTAAAGTAACGTTGGCAATACTGAAAGTGACGTTGACATTGTTGTAAAGTTTATCCTACGATAATAGGCGGAGTTAGAGTCTTCCGAGATTTTTCCAAAGTTTTATTTGCCCAATTGTCCTCACCAAAATGCACATCATTTCTATTATTCTGCTCTCAGCTTTTGCTACCGCTTTCTTCTGTTCCAAAGAATGTGCTGCAAAACCAGCGGCTGTAGCTGTTGCTGCGGCTGCTTCTGCTGCCGCTTCTGCAGCAGCTGTTGCTGCTGCCGCTGTTGCCGCTGCTACCAACAACCATCGTCGTGCCAATTATCAGAAATCCCCAGCATCCCGCTATCGTTCACCACGTGGGATTCCTGATGTTTTGCCTGAACAATTCTTCGGAACCTTTGACTTGGATCACTCTGAGAATTTTGACGAGTATCTCACTGCCAAGAGATACGGATGGTTTACTCGCAAGCTTGTCATTTTTGCCACTTTCAGGAAGGTCTTCACCAGAACTGACAGCAAGACCCTCTTTGACTTCTCTAACTTGACCTCGAAGAAGGACGTCCACTACAAGAACATTGAACTCGGAAAGGCTTTCCAAGGAGAGGGACTTGACAGGGGATGCCAAGGAAGAGACCTTCGAATACTTGTTCGAAGGAGATTTCCTTCTCGTGGTCAGTTTTTTTTATTTATTGGGTGATTAAAGTAGACTATGGAGGATTTTTCGATTGTTCATGCTCAGGGAGGGATGTAAAATTTTGAACTTGGAATTTTGGAATTCTAACTAACTTTTTTTAGCGCATGAGTTTCAACGGAGTCGAGGGACGCAGATACTACAAGAGACTCCCATAAATTTCGGTTACTGTGATTATATGTAGCTTGTTCTGAATTTTCCAATTTCGCAATGATTATGAGGTATGAACTATTTTAACGAATAAACCGATTTACAATTTGAAAGCAAATTCTCCTGACATTTTTAAATTAAATTTGATTGGGGATTTTTCAATCAGTTTTTTATCCAGTTTCAGTCAGTTCCAAGGTTTTCATCGAAGTATTACCGAAAAATATTGGCAACGCGTTTTCAGAAACCTTTCTACCCCTGTACTCAAGACTAAGTTTCGCAATGATACAAACAAGAAACTATCGAAGTTATGATTTCTCTGGTTTAAAAATTTATGTAGAACTTTCCAACTGAGAGTTGAACAACTTTGGAGTATCCCTATGACTAAAAACATGATCAAAGTCCATCCATCTATCTCTAACATACCTGCAGAATCAATACTCAGTCTCTGAGAAATAAAATTGCTGACTCATTAGTACGTAATCTTAGCAGCAGTTGTAAAGTTTATCTCATGATGAAAAGCGGAGGGGCTTCCGAGATATTTTCGATCCATTAGTTGCCCAACTGTTTCCACAGAAATGCACACTATTTCTATCTATCTGCTTTTAGCTCTTGCTATCGCTTTTTTCAGTACCAAAGATGAACTGCGAAACCAGGGACTATCGGTGCTATTGCCGCTTCAGCAAAAGTTGCCTCCAACCGTCGTCGTACCCATAATAAGCAACCCCAAGCACCCCATAATAATACCGCCTGTGAAGCTCCTGATATGCTATCAGAAAGATTCTTCGGTAGCTTTGAGTTGGATCACTCCAAGAATTTGGACGAGTAAAAAAATCCAAACACTTTTGATGAAAATCCAAACACTTTTGATTATTCAAACTTATCCTCGAAGAAAGACGTCTATTACAAGAATGTTTGCCTGGGAAAGTCGTTTTCAGGAGAAGGACTTGATAGCGCCAAGCATGAGGTGAAATCTTTCTTGAATGATTTGAACCGTTCTTTGACGATTGGATTGATCAGTGTTTTTTTTTTCAGATCACTTTTTCCCTCAACAACGGACACTTGTTTGAACATCGCAAACCATTAAAAAAGGAGAAGCCAAGGAGGAGACTTATGAATAATATTTCGATGGTGATTGGCTTTTGCAGGTGAGATAAAAAACTATTTCGTCTCATAAGCGATTTTTTTTCAGAAAATGAGCTACAATGGAATCGAAGGTCGCAGGTACTACAAGAAGACTCAGTAAAATATTCTTAATTTAGTACATATTTTTTCAACATCCCTTTCCGTTGTAAGAATGAATTCATCAAAACAACGCCCTCGAATGGGATTCTTTCAAGCTTTTGAACAGCGAATTGTGTCGAAAATGTTAATTGATGCGTTAACTTTGTCTAGGACACTAAAATATTTCATAGTTCAGATAATTTTTAGCCGAAATTTTGATTCGAGGGACGCAGATACTGCAAGAGAAATCCACAAATTTAGATTTCTGCGATTAAATTACTCTTTTCTGAAAGTTTTGATTTTGTAATGACTATTAATTATGAACTTTTGCAAGGAATTATATGATTTTCGAAAGATAAACAAATGCTTCTGACATTTCTATATTAGATTGGTTAAGGATCTTTCAGCCAGTTTTTCAGCCGGTTTCAGTCAGCGTCTTGGATAATTCATCAGGAAGTATTATCGAAATAATATTGGAAACGAGTTTTCCAGAAAATTCCCACACATATACTTTGAATTGCATGTTAGGGAATATATACATTTTATGAAACTCGGTTATATGTAGATAAAGGCAAATAAAAGACCATCACTCCCAAAGCTATGGTTTCCTTGGTTAAGAACTGGAAAATTGAAATTCAAGGAGTATTCCTATCACAAAAAACATACTCATAGCCCTCCCCTTTATCTCAAACATCTCTTCAGGACCACTATCCAGCCTCTAAACAATAACAATGTTCAGAGATTAACATGTGGTGTCATCAATGTTGTTGTGTTTATCTCATGAGAAGAGGCGGCGTTAGATCCTCCCGAGATACTCCAAAAGCCTCAGTTGCCCAATTTTCCCTCACGAAAATGCACACCACCACATCCATTCTCCTGCTGCTAGCCACTGCTACCGTTATTTTTTGTACCGAAGGAGTGGCTGTAAATCCAGCGGCTGCCGCTTCTTCCCAGGCCGTTATTGCTGCTGCAGCAGCTACTGCCTCCAACCTTCCTACCCATTATGAGCAATCCCCAGCATCCCGCGATCGTATAACTCGTGGAACTAATGATATGTTGCCAGAAAGATTCTTCGGAAACTTCGAGTTGGATCACTCAGAGAACTTCGACGAGTATATGACTGCGAAAGGATACGGTTGGTTCACTCGCAAGATGGTCGCTTTTGCCACTTTCAAGAAGGTCTTCGCGAAGACTAAGAGTCCAAACACATTTGATTACTCAAACTTGACCTCAAAGAAAGACGTGTTCTACAAGAATGTTTCTCTAGGCAAGTCGTTTACAGGAGAAGGACTTGATAGCACCAAGCATGAGGTGGGTATTGTTTACATGATGTGGACCGATTTTTAGGCAAATAAACCAACTTTTCGTTTTTTTAGATCACTTTCTCTCTTAAAAACGGACACTTGTTTGAGCATCACAAACCACTAGAGGAAGGAGAAGCTAAAGAAGAGACCTATGAATACTATTTCGATGGTGATTGGCTTTTGCAAGTAAGTGAATAAATTAATTCGTGCTATTAGTTTTATTTTTCAGAAAATGAGCTACAATGGAGTCGAAGGTCGCAGGTACTACAAGAAGACTCAGTAAAATGTTCCTAATTTTGTACATATTATTTTCGAAATCCCTCTACAATGTATGAATAAATTCATCAAATGTACAATGTTCTCGAATACGATTCTTTCAAACTTTTGAACAGTGAAATGTTTGGAACATATTAATCGATGCGTTAATCTGTCTAGGGCACTAAAGTTTTTGTAAATTCTGAAAATTCTGAAAATTTCAGCCAACATTTGCTTACAACTCTATGAGCGCGTGATCCCTATTATTGTGCAGTGAGCGCATCGGAACACTTTTTTTGAAATGTCCTATTCGCTTCCATAGTTTCCAGATTCCGCATGAAATGTTAATCGGCGTTCGAAGAGTTCAAACCATCTTGTGACTGGCTCGAAACTTTTGGTGTATAACTTCAAAAATAAAATAATCAAAATTCTTCTCACTTGATGACTTCGTCTTGTTTCGCTTGAGTAGTGCTCACCCCCACATGCTCGAATCTCACAATATTCTTCTTATAAATGATGATAAGAAACGATTTCTGCTTTCTTAGTGTTTCATGAATTATGTCTATTTCTGGAGAATTTTGAAAACTTGGTTTTTTTCTTTTACATGATTTCTCATAGACAAGATATGCAACACCTTGATTGGTTTCCCATGATCTTAGATTTTTGAATTTACTATTTTTAAATTTACTTCTAGGGTGATCTTTCAACTTGTTATTGAATGGGAATAGTTGTAGAACAGTCAAAAAATTAAATTTTCTCCGTATTCTAAAATTCAATATTAAGATGATAGCAACCAGTTTTATCCCGACATTCTTAGCTCCAGACTGGCAAAAAAAACATTCTAAGAAAATGAATCCATGAGAATGTAGGCGGTAAAGTAAGAGGTCTAGACATTTTTAGCCTTTTGAACATCACGGCGAAAACTACATTTCCCAAATATTGGCTATATGTAGACTAGATTTTCATAGGATCGGTTTCCAGGGTCTGAAATTGAAGCCAAGGTAATACTTTACATGAATAGTTTTCCTTATCAGGCCACATGTTTCTAAGCTTATTCTGATTATTATGAGTTTCTAAAATCTAGTTCACTCATCGTAAAACTTCTCATAACAACGCACTTTGATTCTCAACTTTAGGCATATTTTTCTCGGTTTGTGTGAAAGATATCAAAACATGTTCATCTAACAAAACATCAACAACATTTTGCCCGTAAAACATTTTTCGATGCAGGAACTGAAATAAATATGCTCAAAGTTGACGACCAGGGTGGTTGGGGAAATATAGATTTTTTTGGGATAGTGAATCGAACAGCCGTGACTTTTTTTTCTAAGTTTTTAGTTTTTCTGAGAACCTCAAAAAATGTGGTGGTGCTATTAGTATGACGCGCACTGTAGAAACTCACAATGGCTGTTCATTTCTTCTCGGTTGTATAAATTTTCTGGTGATTTCAGTTAATTCTTGAAATTTTTCGAATTTTGGTATCCAAAAACCCTCCAACTAAAGTTTGTTTTCTTTAATAGAAGTCAATTCTAAGATGGCTGTTGAAAAAAAGAATCCCGTTTGCGTTCATTAGAGAAAATGCGGTAATTGATACCAGAAGTTTTGAGTTGCTTGGATTCCAAATCAAATGTCTTCGAAAGTTGGAGAATTTAGGTGAACCTGGGAAAGCTCAAAGCTTGTTAAAGATGGGCTCTAGATGTTTTGATATTTTTTAAAAAGCTCTATCCATCGGCTGCACATGTTCATAGAGACGTGGTCCATCAAAACTCTGAGACTAATTGAATTCTTGATCTTACAATTTGCATGAATCATATCCCAAAAAACTTCCGTTTGTTCTCTCTATGTGCCCCACACCCACACCCTTTGAAACAAGAAAAAGTGGTTTTAATCTTATGCAAAAGAACACACATTCCCACAGTGAGTACGCTGGTCATGTTTTGCCACAGTCCTCGGATATTGTTATTTTTCCACATTATCAGAGTTGCTGAAGTTTTGAACTTTTCTTTATCGTTCGCTCCAACGCCTCTGATTGGCTCCAAAAGCCGTACAAGTCTGAAAGAGGCGGGGTCAACGATGGTTTGCATATAAGGCGAATGCGCTCTTGAATTTGATCTCAGTTTCGTTATCTCCTTTTCTAACTTCACTGGAAATACCTTTTCATCTTTCAGGTGTCTATGATCCTCAACGATTGGGGAAACTCCCTCATGGGGGTGTATAAGGCAATCAATTGGGAACACATGGTAGTCCCATGTTATCTGCAAACTGTCATATTGATATATTTTCTTGGAGCCAACGTTTTCATGACCTACTATGATTACCCAAACTATACCAGTCTCCAACCGGGTACCACACATTTAGCCAGGTGCAATCTAAACATGCTAACGATCACCAGCACTTTCGTAACGGCTCAAGCTTTTGCCCAAGAGGTAGGTGGTTACTATTGCCTGTTTCAAAAATTTGAACAAATTTTATAGCTTGATTGTCCATCCACGAGCTATTTTCTGACGTTTCTCATCAACGGTTTTTTCGTTTATACTTCTATTATGGATATCATTCTTTTGTGGACTTTTTCAGAAATATTGAGTCCTCTAAAACAGTGCAAAGCAGGGGAAATTCTTAAAATATGGCGCTGCTACACATGTGTAGCTCTGTTTTTCATAGGATGTGGACAGTATCTCGATTTTCTAATTTTACATTATCTCAAAGCAAATTTGATGGCTACCGTTTATTTTGTTTACGGTCTATTTTTGATCCGAATTACGAGCGACTATTACCGCAATGTGCCGAAGCTTGAAGAATTAAAGGTACAAAAGTCATACATGAACTTTTTGAATAAATGAAATTTTGCAGAGAAAGAACAACGGCCATCCAAAGATTCGTGATTTCAATGCACTTCGAGATATTATAATAAGTCATTCCCGTTTCACAATTATCAATTCCCTCTGCAAGGTGATCGGAATCTTCTTAATGATGTTCTTTCGCACCACATCCAACGGCATTTTCCATTACGCTCTGATCTTGTTCCTCATCTCATCCATCATCCTCAGCTACCCAGAGTTGCGCCTCAAATTACTTCGAATTCTGAGAATCACCAATACGGTATTTGGCAGAAACTGGATGATGCCAAGAATCCCATCAAGAGGAGTGTAAGTGTAAATGAAAGAATCATTCAGAAAGACTAGTCAAGTTTCAGAACCTATGGTACCGTATCATCTCGCGATTTTAACACTAGCCTTGGTGAAGTGTGGGACGTAATGGGCGACGTTCAGCATGGCAGACAACGGAGAGCTTTCATGAACAGCGTTGGGATCAGCAATGAAGATAAGCCAGACGACAACCTCGAGATGGTCGCTTTGGGGGATGCAAGCCTTCACATGTGAAACAAAGCAGACAAGATAATTTTGGATCATCTATTGCTTATTCACTGATTTTTCTTGTTTCTCACATAATTCTCTCAATCGTTATTTTTCTTTTTCATAATATCTTAACAAAAAATGTTGCCAACTGTTTATTTGTTCGTGATACCATCTTTTGAAATAATAAACATAAAGCGACACAAAAAAAAAACCCGTCTATAGTACCAATCATTAAGATATACAAAAAAGTGTTAATTAGTTAATTTTTAGCCATTTTGAACATTTTCAAGAGTCTGGAACTTGGATGTCAAGTTTCCGATTACTTCGAAAATTTTGGAAATCGTAAAACAGATATAGATTGAAAATTCACAGAATTTTCAAAAAATTCTAGTTTTCCAGTTTTTTGCAAATTTCTGAATTTTTTTGCCAGAAAAGTAGATTATTCCGAAATCGGCAAATACCGTAAAACCTGTATTAAAAGGGTCCCTGAAATTGAAGGGCCCCTCTAATTAGAGTGCCCCCTAAAGACATCACAAAAATAGAAGTGCTCCCTCTAATTGAAGGGTCCCTCTATTTGAAGTACCCCCTCTAATTGAATTTTGCGTTTCTAGTCAATGTGTCCAAAGATGGAAGTCTTTTGAAGTCAAATTGAAAAAAAACCAACTGAAGATTGATTGATTTTCTGATGTTGTTTTTTGTTTTCATTAAAATAAAGATGTTATTGTTTTGATATAAAATAATTTTTAAGGATTTTAAGAAGAAAAAACAAAATTTTCCCCAAAAAACGTTCTAATACAGGTTTTACGGTAGCTCAAAAAATAATAATTCCCAGAAAATTTTGTGACTGCAAAGTTTTCAATCTAGGTTTGTTTTTCACCCTTCAAAGTTTTCAGAGTGATCTGAAAGTTAACAGCGGAGCTCCATCTAATAACAGTGAAAATAGCCAAAAATCCATTGACATAAAATGTATTTGTAATTCTTCATGACCGGTACTGATCCTTGTATAATTCACACAATTTATTTATTTTATTGCTAACAAAAACTGTTGCCAATTGTTTATTTTTCATGACACCATCATATGAATATAATAAACATGAAGTGATACAAAAACCCGTCTACAGATATGAAAAAACTACGTTTTCTCAAGATTATAATTAAGGAAAGATTTCTCATTGACCCTCAAATCGACCAACTTTGGAGATCTCAACTTCTGCGATGCACTCCAGATCTCACACTGACGATTTTTGCATTTCCTAAGCATCCGCAATTGTTCGCTGAGTTGCTCGAGTACCCCGATCTCCAGAGAGTATACAGCATTAATCAACTGAAAAACAGTGGGAGGTTTTTGAAGGAAAGTGAAGGGCATCCATTAGCAAAGAGGCGCATTGCATTCAGAATGCAACTGATTTATCTACGGAGCAGCTGCTTCACTCATGATTCATCGTAATTCTCTTTTTTTACCTGATCTGGATCCGTGTTGAAGTCATAAAAACTGATGAATTCGGTCACAAATTCGCAATACAAAAAGTTGTGCGTCTCGTTTTTGGTCCTAAGACACCAATACGTGTTGCTGAAAAAAGAATGGGGTGTGAGAAACTGTGACGTTGCGAGATTAGAAACCGACTTGTTGCAGTTCTGACAGAAACAGAACTCGCCAAGCTCTTCAGGCCACAATGGGGGCGTTTTCCAGTGCGATGCTGTGTGCGTGAAACAGTTCATTTGTGGAAGAGAACAGTCTTTGGGTTTCAGTGAGCCAGTTTGTCTAGAAAAATCAGATTTCAATGCAAATGGCAGAAAAGTTGCACTCACAACTTTTTCTTATAATTAAGATAATGCTTCTTTGACAGTTTTCGTTCCAATCGTTTTCTGAAAATCTTGCATTCTTTGAAATAATCGACACTCAACTTACATGGGATGTGACATGTTTCTGGAGCAACTACACTTGCTTAGTATCCCACGCTTCTGACGTGAAAAACCCTCGTGACTCTCAAAATCAAAATCGTCGTGATCATCAATTTCTCCTTGGTACCATTCGTTATCGAAGGAGAAATTTTCTTGGTCCACATAATCCAGAAACTCATCAACGTCGTCGTCATCATCGTTCACATCGCGTTTCTTTCTACACGGGCACTGATCTCCCCAGTTATCACGACACTTATAGATGCGCCAACGGTCCTCCACAGTGTAGTAGCATTTCCACAGCTGTAAAAGTTTATCGTTCAAGAGTGGACTATAATTTCTGGTTCTGGAACTTTAGCAGATTTTGAGATTTGGGAAATACATAATTTGAAGTTCTCAAAAGAAAGCTTTGTGGATGGTATTAAATCTAAGTTATAGATGACAAGACAAAACAGATTTCATATTTTCGCTTTTCGTTTAAAAATAGTCAATTTGTCAGAAAAAAGTACATTTTTTAAATTTACAATTCTTTTGGTACAAACTCGATCAAGATATGCCGAAAATGGCACGAAAAATTCACCGGAAAGGCACGAAAATGGCACAATCAAAAATAAGAGTTGTGTTTCTTTATTCGCTATTCTGAAGTGTTACGAAAAAGTGGTCAATCAGAGAAACGAAGTTTAATTTTCATTGATTGTGATATCAATTTTTCCGAGCAATGAAATACCTGGGATACTTCTTTAAGACTCCAAAGTTTAAAATATCTTTTTTGGTCAATTTGGATAGATTCCAGACTGTATGTTGACTCAAAAAACCGAAAAAATTTAATAGAAACCAAAAACAATACCTGCCCCTCTACACAATCTCTCTGCCACTTCCTCCGTTTGCATTCCTTGGACAGCCGGTTCTCCTTGTTGAACTTCTTCTTCTGTTTCATATATCGATCCCGAATCTTTTTCAACTTTGGCATTTTCCTACAAAACTCTAGTTAATGTGAAAAGGTTCAGATTTTAATTTACCCTCTTTCTATCAAAACTGTATCTCTCCACGGCTTCAAGGCTTCTGCATGCTTTCTCTTCTTCTTTTTTAAAGCCACCAGTTCCAGCAAACTTCTTCCGTTCATTCTTGCTGGTTTTGATACACCCGCAATTGCTAGCATAGTTGGTGCGACATCCACATTTGTCACCATTTCATCGAATCTGAAAATTTTGGTTTTTAAAAATATCTGAAGAATAGGGGAGACTCACGAAACATTTCTAGGGATTCCAGGGCCTCTCATAAAAAATGGCACTCGAATATCAAACTCGTATGGCATATTTTTGCCTTTCAATAGACCAAACTGACCGAGGTGATATCCATGATCAGATGTGTATATAGCATATGTATTCCACAATTGATTTAGTTCGCGGAGTAAATTGAATAGCTGAAAATTATAACTGTTCTAATCAGAATGAACAATTTTGAAACTCACTCTTTCAATTCCTTCATCAACACTTTGCAAAGTTTGAAGTCTTCGTCTATGCAACAAATCCGTAAAACTAATATGAACCTCGTTCATTTTACCAGTTCTTTGGAGTAACCATTGCTTGTCAGGGTTTGGCGCGAAATTCCAACTTCCAGTTCTGAAATTATTTCATTTCACGATGACAATATTGTTGAATGATTACCTATGACTGAACTCGTTCTCAAACATGTGTGCAAACTGAGGAGCTGGATCTTCGGGACCATGAGGTGCCGGGTAGGAGATGATAAGGGCGAATGGCTGCCAAGCTCGTGTCTTAATATGCTTTTCGATAAACCGAAGAGAGCGATTGGTGACCAAATCTGTGAAATAATCCTGAAAACTATCTTTTTGTTCAGGAAAACTGAGGAAAACTAACTTTCTCGTATTCAAATCCAAATTTCTCCCTTTCTCCGTTCGAATTCATTGAATAATTGTAAAATTTGCTATTCTTGACAATCGCATGCCATTCATCCCAGCCAGGGGGAATGTAAGATCTGACAATTTGAATAATGGGATTCAAGGATTAAGAAATATTGTTTACCCATCATATTCGTTCAAATATTTTCCGAGATATGCCGTTCGATATCCTGCGTTTTGTAAATAAACTCCTATTGATTTTTTCTCATGAACTTTTCTAAATAAGATTTTATTTTTCTCAGTTTTTGCAATTTTTTAAACAAAAAAACCTCCACTCGACTCCTGTGCAATTTCCATTATTCGTATGCACATGATGGTTATGTACGTATAATCCAGTAAGAATAGTAGAACGACTAGGACAGCAAATTGGTGTTGTCACATATCTGAAACAAAACTATTTTATTTACAGTACCAGTCAATAAGTATGCAAAGACATTTTTCCCAGTTGATTTTCAACTATTTTACTATTTTTAGGTATCTCGGCTGTCAAGTTTCCAATTACTTTGAAAAATTTGAGGAGTGTAAAACAGACCTAGATTGAAAATTTTCATTTACAGAAATTTTTTGGAAATTCCTTCTTTTTCAATTATTTGCCGATTTCTGAAAGACCCATTTTTGCCCGTTTTAGTACTAAAAAGGTGAAAAGTATGGACCACTAAAAAATCGGAAATAAGCAAAAAGACTTTTTGAAAAAATTCGTAAATGAAAAGTATTTAACCTAGGTTTGTTTTACATCCTCGAAAGTTCTCAAAATGATTTAAACTTAACAGCCGAGCTCTAGACTCTTGAAAATTGTCAAAAAGGTAGAAAAACAATTGCAAAATATTTTTTTATTGATATAGAAATAGAAATCTATAGAAAAAAAAACGCACCCTGATGTAAATTCTGTTCCTCGCTCTTTCATAATTTGGGTGGTTTTTGGCATGAAATTCATCGAGCCTAGCTCAATGTCTTGGTCATCAGTCAAAATTAGGATCACATTGTGTTGACTGAAAATCAGAAATTATCAGGTTTCAAAAAAACTTGGAAACTTACGAATCAACAAAATTGATAACCGCATTCGTACTAAAAACGAACGTGGAGAACAGAAACACCACGCAACTATTCCAATTCATAAATGTGTACTAAAAGGGACAACAATAAAAATGTGGACCAACGAGTGTCATCAAATGAAGTGGCAATCTGGAACAATTAAAGTAGGTGCGAGAAGACCGAGGAGGGGTGGTGGGGATGTAGAGAACAAGTGAAGTGGTTTGAGGCGAGCCCAACGATGTGTGAGGACCCCACTATTACACACTCACCTCATTCCTTTCACTCATTTGCCCACCAATCAAAAGAGTAACACCAATCGCCTCGGACAGATACTTTTCGAATTGTCCGCACTGAGATTCTTGACATTTTTTAACCAGGTCGTTTTTATTATGGCCATTCTTATTACAGACAAAATATAAATCCACCAGGTAAATGTATTCAGCAATTCAGGATTTTCAAATCAACTGGGAAGAGAGGAATCAAGGGGAGAAGGAATGCGGACAATAAAAGTTATGACAATAAAAAATGGAATGAGAAATTGGAAATTATTAGGACGATGTTACAATTAACTTGTTTGGGTGTGTTTTGAAGTCAGAGAAAACGTTCTGGGAACCAGCAACAATACAGGTGGGATTCAAAACATACAAAAAGGCCATGGCGAAATTAGGGTTTTTGAAAATATCTTAAAAGAGAAATCTTGTTTTTTCCAGTCCTAACAATGACGGTCGATTTCCTTGATCTTCTTGAAGGCGTCCTCAAACTTGGTGAGAATTTTGATGTCACTATTCTGTGGGACGAAGTAGCATGATGGGATTTTGTCAGATTTGTCATGCAGGAACTTGAAGATTGGGACGTTCGGGAACATTCCGTGAATCTGTAAATTCTCTTTAAAATCTCTTATTTAACTGATTTTGCATCTAAAATGGGAAAATTGTCCTAAAAATCGTTTCTCTCTTTTTACACATTCAGAGAGCCAACTCATTTTTTATTCTCTGCCACCGTAACCCAACGCCACCCCACATCTCAAATTTTCTTTCTTCAAAAACGAAACGTAGATTGATGGAGATGCGGGAGATGGTGGTGCTAATTGATGAGGCCTACCACTCTTCCATGCCATCTCTCCTGTCGACGAAGACATCCAACGACACCACACTGGAAACATGGTGACGGATTGGCGACCGACTGCACTTGTCTCCATGTGTCACGAATTGAGAAATTGTGCTCCGGGAGCATCTTGACTGCCTGGAAGAGCAATGAGATAAATGAGGTAAAGAGATTTTGGGACGGAAATGGTACAGTATACCAACTGAGAAGTTGATTTTTGAACATGTGATTTCATAAGATAGTGAGCCCAAATACAAACAATTTCATCAACTTATTCTAAAATTGGAATTGTATACCTATTTCCTCTTATAGAAGCCATCCATCCATCAACTTTAATCTAAAATTTCGATAAAACATTGGATATATTATAAGGATAATTTATCAGTTGACAGAATTCTTATACAAGAATCGAGATAATTATCTGGGTGGGCTTCGAGAAAGGTTGTATTCTTACTTCTTTACGTAGTCATTTGGTAACACAAATAAAGATGCGCCTTCAGCTTGTTACCAAATGACCATGCAATAAAATGAAAATACAATATTCCTCGAAGCCCACCTAGACAATCAACTTTAAGCTCAATTATCTTGATTCCTGTTATATATGAAAACCTTTTCAACTAATAAAATGTTGGTTATATGTTGATAAGTCATTTACCAGAAATCGAGATAATTGCCATATTTTCCTACTACAGTAACCTAAAAACCAAAAAACAAATTTCCACAGCTATGACGTTACCAAAACTTTATTTTTTTTCTGTTAGCCCGCTGCGTGGACTCCATGCAAATCAGTCTTCCACAGACCCATTATTCTCTGATTAATAGTTTTTTTTCCAAAAGTCGAGAGGCTGAGAATGATGTCACTCGTCTCTCCTCGTCAGCACTAAGTCCTAATCAGTTTCACTTGTGTGTGCGCAGGTGGAAAATTTAGTGTGACAGATTTCATTTACGCTTTGCCTAGTTTTTTATGCTTGAATATTTTCGACATTTTGTTGTCTAGAAGAGTTCGCTCAAAAAAAACCCCGCGAGTAGCGGAGAAATTTGAGAATCGTTTTTTTTTTCGTACCAATGTGGAAAAATGACAGACCATATGACGTGTCCCACACAACTAGAGACTGTGTATATATGAGAGGGTTCTAGTCGGTTAGATGGAAATAATTTGAATTTTTTAAGTTTTCGGAGTTTCTCTACATCAATAACAACTGGGTTTTGTAAAATTTTCATAACATTTCTCAAATTTCTATTAGTTTTAACTTAATTTTCTCAAAAAATCCTACCTGAACAAGCTGTCTTTTGTTGCACCATTCCTCTAGCACTCTCAAATCTGCATTTGGAACTTGTGTGTTGATTTTGATGTGAGTCGATCCTGGAATCGGCTCCGAATTCCAGCATTCACCCTTGTTACAGACTCTCTTGACCGTCAATTGCTCATCCTTCTCCGGAGCGGCGGCGTATTTTTCCATCAGCTCCTCGTCTTCAAGAATAAGATTGGGTATTTTTCCAGCAAGTTCCAAGAGCTCTTCGAGAGTTTTTTCGCTGATTTGTCGATTACGAATTTGAAGGAAGACGCGTTCATCGGGTTCTTGTTTTTTCGGAGGCATTCTAAAAACGTTTAAATATATTTATAGAGAAATTGGGGGAAAGTGAAAAAGAGAAAAATAGAGGAATGGTTACTAGCTCGATTTCGTCAGTTTTCGAGTGAGGAGGAAAAAATGGAAATGTGAGAGCGCATCAACAGTCCCCATTTGTTTTTATCGCAATTCAATATTCACAAAAAGAGGAGTATGAAAACGATTGCAAAAATCTAAAAGTGAGTCACGGGAAATAGGCAAAAACAAAATAGCTGCGACAAAAAATATAAATCGATTTTTCTTTAAAAAAAAGATAAATAGACAGACAAAAAAATGGACGTGGTAATTTTGATTTATCGAGACGAGAAAGCTGTCAGAATCATCAAAACAAAAATAAACAGCTTCAATCGATTAGTGCCCCTACTGAAAGCGATAAAAATGAGTTGTGACACTCGGGACCCCTGAACGAATAGTACAAATGGAGAACAGATGTTTCTTCGTGCCCAGGGCACCACAACCAGATGGCCGCCAGCTTTTTTTCTCAAGATTTTTTGTGTCAAGTGCTTATATAGGCAACTAAAAAAAACGTTGCACACCATGAAATGAACACCTGCTTCCCAAAAAAAAAGTTTTGTTCATTTTTTTTTTCAATATCTACACTTTTCAACAATTTGAATTTTTTCTTCGAGAAAAAAGTTTTCCGATAATCCCTTTCTAAAATTCCCACCACCCTTTCCAACTTTAGAAAAAAACTCCGTACCCAAAACTCACGATTCTCGAATAAAAAAAGTAGAATTATGTCATAAATCCTTCTCCGATTATACAAGATTACTTTGCCAAACTGAGAGGTTCGTTTCGAGATTTTTTATGATCGCATAAAAAGAGAGGTGCATGCTTATGAACAAATGAGCTCTCCAATTTCCTGTTTTCCAACTTCTAGACAATACCTGTCTGCATTAGAAATTCAGGCGTCTCCGGCCACTTCTGGCTGGAGCTTGGTCAGATTCCGGCAAAGACATTGTGGGAAGCCGACCAAGATCCAATAAACTACCTGCAAGCTTCCGACCTTTTAACACGCAGCGCCTTTAAATTCTGGCCAAAATCCGACCATTGTCCGTCCCAATGCTGCCAGTGTGCAGTTTCTGACCAAAATCTGACCAAGATCAGTACAAAAGCCGAGCCCCCCCCCCCCCCCCTCAACTTCCGTCCAGAAGTTGCAAGCCGACAGTCGAGAAGTCTCGAAAAAAAGCTATTATTTTCATTTTTTGAAATGGCAAATTTAAAACATGAGGACCTGGAAATTGAAGGACAGAGGTTTTTTTGAGAGGAATATTTAGTAAAAATGCAAAATAAATATAAAGAAGCTCAGCTTTCTGTTTTGGCGCTCGTGTTGGGTAGCGAACCATTATTACGGGAAGTCATTGGGCAATTGGTGAGCACCAGTTTTTGACCAGTTGGGAGGAATCCCAGAAGCAGGCGGTTCACTGATTGATCCGATTTGTTCCTGAAACTATCTACGGTCAATAAGATATACAAAATACAGAAGTATTTTTCTAATGATTTACTACCATTTTGATCATTTCCAAGAGTCTAAAGCTGGGCTATCAAGGTTCCAATCTTTTCGAAAGTGTTTGAGGGTGGAAAACAGACCTAGATTAAAAACTTTACAATCACATAATTATTTGAACTTTTCTAGTTTTTCAGCTGTTTACCGAATTCTATACACCTATTTTTTACACCTATTTTTTACGTTTTCAGTACGAAAACGGACCAAAAAGTGGTATTATTTCCGAAATCAGCAAATAGCTGGAAAAAGTGTAAGTGCAAAGTTTTCAATATAAGTTTGTTTTAAACCTTTCAAAGTTTTTGAAATGATTGAAAACTGAACAGCCTAGCTCCAGACTCCAGAATATGTATGGTCAAAGTGGCCGAAAATCAACTCAGACATGATGGATTTTTGGAAATTAAGTGTTTTTTTTTTAAATTGTGACCTAAATACTTCGAAAACTAAAAATTTCTCAGCTTGCATTTTATCATCATTGTGTTTCTCGTACTTGTTTTACCCTAAAAACAGCAAATCGCAATCTAATTTATCAAAATTGAGAGTTCGAAACTTTTTCGCGACCTCAAATTTTCAAATATCTCTAATGTGTGAATCAACTGGAAAATGCATTATTGTAATTTTTTGACTGGTACTGTATGCCAAAGAGATAAGAAATACCGAATAGAAAACGGAAGCAGTTCTCACTTTATGGCTAACCTCATTCAATTGAAATGGTCACATAGAACCGAAAGTAGAAAATCACCAGCAAAAAGACCCACAGATTTCAATAAAACCCGGATATAAATCATGCAAAAAAACCCTACGTTGGCAGAAAATGTTAATCCCCCTCCACATATACCTTCTCTTATTCTCCTTGTTCTTTTTGTAGCTGTCCACTACAACTTTACCATCGTCCGCGAAGTGCTTCCCATATGGATATTGTGTGGACGTGCCGAGATGTCTAAAATTCAATCAGCTATCTTCAAAAAAAGGGATGAAGAAAACTCACTTGTAGGCAATTTTAATCACAAGAGAACGTTTTGTAGTATCAGTCAGAGCCATTTGAGTTTGCTGCTCGGTTACCTCCCTAACTGGTGAACATTGCATCAGTGTTGCTAGTTTTTCCGTGTTGCAATCCACGGACATAATGAGATTGATTATGCTGAAATAAGTTAAAAATACTATAAATGAATGAAGAAGTAGCAGAAAAAGAAAGCTGGGTTCAATGAACAGGTACACTTCCCAATTGTTTATGATACACGGAAAGATGGTGCGGAAATAGTATCGGTGTTCATCGAGAGGAGAGAAGGGGACTTGAAAAATCGAATATAATGAAAAAAATAAAAAAAGAACAAGAAGAAGAATTTCAAGATATGAGTATAATCAATCTTATGCTACCTCGGTTTTTTGGGGCACCCCAATGGAAATTGTATTTCGGTATTAAAAAATGAAGCCGTTGACGCAAGAGAATGAAAAAGGGCGGGACCACAAGCATTTATGAATATGTCGGAAAGCGTACTAGCCTCATAAAACTGAATTGTTTTTTTTTCTGTTTTTGCGAAAATTATAGGATACTGCGTGAAAGGGAGATATAAGAAATCTGGATAGAGCCAAATGAGATATCGCCGTGTCTAGTTCAAAAGGACATGGAGAAAAAAAGGGAATATATATTCCAATTCATGTCCGGTTTCAATTATATTCCTTCTTCCGAAACAGAAGGAAACAGAAGAGGGAGGGAGGAGGTTTCAAAAAAGGGAGGGCGGTCCTCAAAAACGTGCACGTCGTTCGTCACGAAGAATGAGATCTATTTTCTCGCCTTTGTGATGCTCTTTCTTTTTTCACACTTCGCCCCATCTCCAACCTCATTTGAACTGAAGATGACCAAGAAGACGAATCACGAGAGGAGGCGGTGTCACCACAAATTTGTGGCTCCCTTTTCTCTCCGGTTGACACCACCCACTAATACATCATGTCTATTTCCGAGAAAAAGGATCGGTTTTGCTTTTCTCGAGCAGAGAGTTCATCTCAAATTAGCAATTTCCACTTGATGTGCCACATTTTCTACCTGAAAAATGACGGGAAAAGGCTCTTGAGACAGGGCGGGGAGCAAGGTATGATTGATTTATGTATCCGGTCGGTGCAAAAAGGATGAAAAGGTTACAGTAGGTCAGACTTCTAAGCTAGATTTTATTAAGCTAAATCTTGGAACTAGTAAATTATAAGTAGGACGTTTATTTGGAATCTATTCAAGATTACTGTCACATTTTTCACCGTCCAACGTTGCTTTCGAATTAAACAATTTTTTGCAAATTTTGAGACATTTTCTCAGATAACACGACGGAGAACGATTTCAGACCGAAGATTTTGTCAGCTGTTGTAGGTTGCATGCATTTATTGAGCAATTTGTAACAATAGCGGAAAAATTTGCGCTAACATAATGTGTAGGGATAAGAATAATAACAAGTGGATAAACACAATGAAAACAGAAAGAAGGAGAAAATATGGACTTCAAATTTAAAACAAAAACGGTCAAATATTGTACTTTGGAACTTTTTAAAGATTGAAACAAAACGGAAAAAAGGAAGAAAGCAAGAAGGGTTAGATGGAATAAAAAAGGATACGAAAAATAATCCAGATCACAAATTTGTAGAATCGTGGAATTTGAACTAATAGAAAATGGAAAATCTGTTCAATTACTTGGTAAAAACATATACAGCTGGACAACTTGAAAAAAGAAAGAGCTAGCAGGTCGATACAAGAAGATGGGTTGGCAAACGAAGGGGAAAGATTTTTTAATAATCATCACTCTCATCTTCTTCGTAGTTATATTCCGAATCAGAATCCGATTCCTTCTCGCATCTCTTCTTTCTTGACGGCTCGGACGCTGATGGAGTTTGATCCAAGTTACGTTGCATGCTTCTTTTTCGGAGAGATATTTTTCTGGACAATGACGCTTTCAGTGAAGATTCCGGAAAGTTCCTGAAAAAAGGATTGTTTAAAAAGGCTATTCATTGAGCAACTCACTTATAGCCTCTTGTTTCCGCTGACGAGGCATTTTTAACAGGTCTTCCTCTTGGGACTTTGACTCAGCTTTCTCTCGGACCTACTTTTCTAAAACAATAAACAGTAATTGAGAGTGACTTTTTTGGGGGAAATTACCTCCCGCAAGCTTTCGGTGCAACTGCTTCTTCATCTTCGGATGACTCCGATTCTGATTCCGCAAGTCTCGGCTTTTTCACGTGGGCTGACAAAGGTCTCACACGGGCTCGACGAAATCTGAATTAACGAAAATTTTTGAAAAAGGAGTTTGAAAAATCATTTACCTTAATGGTCTCCTTTTTTCTTCCTCATCAGAATTGCTGGATTCTTCATGTTCGGAACACGCGAGGTTGGATTCCGTGTATTTCGGCTTCTTCACTCGATGAAGATCTTACATGTGGCCGTCGAGCTCTGAATCGAAGACATTTTAAGAAGACAGAGATTGAATTTTATTACCCCGACCTTTTTTGTTTCTTTTCCTCATCAGTAGAGCGTTTTTTCTCTTGTCGTCTAGTCGAAAATCGCTCCACAGGTGATGGCGAATAAATTACGCGGGCACGCCGGATTCTGAAAAGTAGCAATTTCTTGAAAATGTCATGCTTTAGGAAATTACCTGCGGAGGTTCTCAATTTCGACGACATGGTCTTCGACTGCGGTGTCGTTTCCGGATGAATCCTCAGATGATTTCATATTATTTTGCTTCAGAACTACAGCATTTCTGTAAATTCGCTTTTGGACTGGTGACGTATCTTCCTCTCATTCAGTGTGCGACTCGGAACTTTCTTTCTTCAGCGCCATTTTGCTTCTGAAAATTGAGGTAATTATGAGAGCGACTCATTTTTGGAAATTACCTCAGTCGATTCTTCAGACTGGTCGTCTCTTCTTCCTCGTCGGTCTCACATTTCGAATCTCCAAAATGTCCGTTTTTCCGAGTTTCTGAGTTCTTAATGGCAGCAGTTCTGAAAATCAAAAACAATTTTAAGAATGACACATTTTTCAAATTTACCTCGAACCATTGCTTGATTTCAATAGCCTCTCTCTATTTTTCTTTCCATTCGACTTGTCTTCTTTTCCTTCCGGAGTGCCAGTCGTTTGTGCATCAGCAGGAACCGATTGCTTATTTTCTACATCGTCGTTTTCTGAAGGCTCTTTGGACAACTCTCTTCTTCTTCTTCTTAGAAGCTTGTGATTTTTTCACTGGAGCTGGACTGCATGTTAAGACACATTATTAAAATTATTCAGTTTGCAATATTACTATTTTGGTGAAACGTCCACAAGCAGCCTATTGAAATCAACAGGTCTCCTCGCTTGTTGTCTCAAGCACTCCTCAGTGATTTCCTTCGGATCAATCACATTTTTAAACTGAAATTGTTGAAGAAAAGTTTAAATCATTCCTCATTTTTCAATATTTTACCTGATTTCTCAACTGAGCGCCTGCATCTCTGTCTTCTAGTGTCGTAAATGGCTCTGATCCAAAATTCTTGCCCAGAAGGATCCCGGCTAAATTTGGAGGCCTATAGTTATTTCCAAGCTCGATGCTCTTTTCCAAACTGTATTTTCTAAGAAAACAAAGAGCCTGTAATAAAAAATATGCTCAGAATTAGAAAAAATAACTGACCAGCTAATGGCTCACACGGGGGCAGGCTTTGACCAACTCCTCAACCTTTTCCTCAGTTTGATGAGGATATCCTAAGCTGGCAATGGGGACACCTCGCGGTCTGGTTCGTCTTCTCGGTTTTCCTTCGGTTTTCCGATTCTCGCCTTCAAATCACTGAAAAATTTTAGTTAGTCGAATTCACTGTCGTGAAGTTATTATCTTACGCGTCTGACAATGGTTCGTAAGTCCTTGTAATTTGTATATTGTTCCTGTAATACGTAATTTGTAATTTGTAATTTGTTTCTTGGTTCCTCCCTTGGTTCCTCCTTCGGTTCTGGTTGAGATAGTTGAGGTTGACTTATGGTAAATCTTCTTTGCACTTTCTCAGTCTCCATTTTCTCGATATTTTTTTTGTCGGCCGACGTTCCGGTGAATCTGAAAACAGAAAGAGTTGGAAAAAACTATGAAAATTCGAAATATAATCAACCAAGTTAGAAAAAAATAAGAGAGAAATCGACCCAGTTATACTTTTTTAGAAAAATTAGTGATAGACATGAGGAGAAACAGAGAAAATTGTTCAACAAGACAGCAATTGTTTTTGAAGGTGTTTTGAAGATGTATTTGAAGGTGCATATACGTAAAGAAAATTTTTCTGAGTGTACCAGAAGGAAGAGAAAAACATTAATTGAGGGAAAAGACCTGTGCGGTTGTCGCGAAGAAGTCTCTAGAAGCAGAGGAAAGAGAGAGCGAGGAATATGGATTGATAATTGTTTTAGGGTGCAACCCAATGATAGCACAATAACGCCAAAAGATTAGATAAAAAGTAATCTTAAAATTGATTTGTTTTGTGGTAGATGAAATTTGGATAAGTCGAGAAACACATAATACAAAGAGGAGAAAAGCCAATAAGAACGTTATTGTAGATGACGATGAATTGTATCATCTAGTCGTTTGCAATTTGCTGGTAGGAACGCGATATGAAGAAAGAGTAAAGGGGTAAATGGGTGAATCTTTTCTGGGCCGTATGTCTCTGAGCACACCTTTTCCTCTTCTCTCAGATGCACACCATGTCTGCTGCCCAATCGAAGTATCTTTTGGGATCGTTTCTAGGAAGATCGGTGTGTGGCCATCTGCCGCTCACTTACCGACTCGCGACTAGACCTTCTAAGTTAGTCTAAGTCACGAAGAGTTGTACGTAATATTGAGGGCACATAATTCGGAGGGTAGAACCAGTTGTTTTACCTTTTTTTATCTCCGAATTACTAGCCATTTTGAAGAGAAGAAACAAAACAATGGCCGCCAGATCAGCTTGACTCCTTATGGATAAAGTTTGGAATACACCAAATGCAAAGTTCAACTTCAGGGTTGGAAGTTCACAATCAGATGAAATTGTTCGCTTCGAATGTTCTTTATATGAATATTAGAAAAAAAGCTTTTGAATTCGCTCACTTTTTCCCGTTGTCTTTAATGTTGTTGCTCGCTCTCTTCAGGTTAGAGGTGACGGTAGGTTACGGTAGCTTCCGTTTTTGTGGCCTGCGGCAACCGCCACCAAAGCTTCTTTTCCACCCAACAGATGTTTTTATACCAGTATAATGGGACGACGTTGTTTAAAAAGAAATTTCAAAAATGGCATGAGCGCCCGAGGCTGGCTCTGAACATATTCAAGAGATCGTTTTGGTCACGTATGATCATCTTTTTTTCACGATAGTAAAGCAATGACCAATTACCTACAGTCAAACAGAAACAACCAATGAATCTTTCCTCTTTTCTCGGATGTGCATCACATATTTTGGCATATCAAAAAAGGCAGATTAGCGGTGTTTTGTCTTCTGAAACTGACTCACCAATTTGCGAATGGATAGATCAACATCTTTTCAAGTTAGTCTAGGCTACGATGAGTTGTACGCATTATTGAAAAGAAAGAAAAATATCGTTGGGATATTTTATCGATAAGATGTCGTGAATCAGGGACCTAGATGTTGAAACAGGCTTCATGAAAAATTCAACTACAAGGACTTGAAAGTTCAAAGCAGAATTACATTTTCGCTAGGAATCCACCCCTCTATGTGGGGAAAAATCCACCCCTCTATGTGGGGAAAAACCTTTCCGAAATTACTTTTTTCTATAGCTACCCATTTTGTCTTCACAGCCTAGTATCTCACAGGCAAGAAAAAGCAATGAGTTGGTCAGTTCAAAACATTTGTTTTGCAAAAAAAATCGGGATGTAACATTCAGAATTCGAAACTCGTGATTTTATGAACTCAACGGATGCAGATAAGACACGTACTGAACGAATTTTGAGCTTAAAGCGATTAAGTGTGAATCTTTAATCGCGACTATGCTTTTTCCGGATTCAGAGTATTCGAATACGTACCTGATAAGTTTCCTAGAAAGATCTGAGCCTCCTTTCAACTAGTACTTATTGTCACAGAGGGAAGAAAAAAAAAAGAGTGCGAATATGCGTGCGTCGTCAGGGATAGAGAAAAAAAAACGTATGACTGAATATTCGGAAAGGAGGAGAGACGAGGAGGAGGAGGTGATGCGTTGAGCCGACTTGATTAAGGCGGTGCGTATTGATGACCCTCGGACTGTATAAGAATGTAAAGAGTGGAGAGAGCAGATTCTTTTGGTATATCGATTGTTTTTCATGTGTTAACGTCGTCTCAAGAAAAGGAGTGCGGAATGAGTCATTCAAATGACTCTCAAAATCATGCAGATTGACGTTTTCTGTCTCTGAGATTGTTTGCCTTGGTAATATGCCTTTGGGAAATCCACATTTTTGAAAATTTTCAGAATGAATTAATTGATTCAAAACGATAAAGTTAGCACTTATCCTAGTTTTAGGTTCTCTAGATGATTCATCAGAACAATAATACATGTTTTTTCTAAACCATATAATGGTTTAAAAAGATTGAGAGCGGTTACTTCGTTAAATTTTTCTCAAAGGCACAAGATTGAACTATTGTATTTTTTGGGCCCATTTGAAAATTTTTAATTTTATAATATGTCTCCAGTTTCTCAACGTTTTTCGTTATTTCGATTCGTTTTGTTTTTGTTTTACATAGGTATGGGTAGGTCCTCAAGGACCCTTTCCTCTCTTCTGGTTTCTCCACATGAAGGGACAGAATTCCGATCGAAAATGTAATTTTTTTCCTTGAACCTTTCAGTCCTCATAGTTCAATTTCTCATGAGGCTTGTTTCGTCATCTAGATCCGTAATATCCGACAGCATATCGATAAAATATGCCGAGTCGGTGAGTCAGTGGCAGATGACAAAACATCACTAATTTTGGATTTGGTATTCCAGAAGGTGTCATGTACATCCCAGAAGAGAGGAAAGGGTCCTTGAAGACCTACCCATACCTATGTAAAACAAAAACAAAACGAATCGAAATAACGAAAAACGTTGAGAAACTGGAGACATATTATAAAATTAAAAATTTTCAAATGGGCCCAAAAAATACAATAGTTCAATCTTGTGCCTTTGAGAAAAATTTAACGAAGTAACCGCTCTCAATCTTTTTAAACCATTATATGGTTTAGAAAAAACATGTATTATTGTTCTGATGAATCATCTAGAGAACCTAAAACTAGGATAAGTGCTAATTTTATCGTTTTGAATCAATTAATTCATTCTGAAAATTTTCAAAAATGTGGATTTCCCAAAGGCATATTACCAAGGCAAACAATCTCAGAGACAGAAAACGTCAATCTGCATGATTTTGAGAGTCATTTGAATGACTCATTCCGCACTCCTTTTCTTGAGACGACGTTAACACATGAAAAACAATCGATATACCAAAAGAATCTGCTCTCTCGGTTCAGAAAAATGATGGTTGTTGCAGCGGGTTTCGAAACAGAAACTACTGTAACATACCATACCTCTAACCTACAGAAAATGGGCAAGAACACCAAAGATAGTAGAAAAGGGAGTGGGTGAACTCGAAGGATTGTCTCTATCACATACAGCACGTATAGCCAGAATGAGAGATGAAACTTTTTAAACATTAAAATGTTTCTTTGAACTTTCAAATTCTGAAAGTTGAGCTTTGCAATCGGTGTATTTCAAACTCTGAATCCATGGACTGTCGAGCTGATCTTCATAGCCAATGTTTCTTTTCTCTGATAGTATGCACAATTCTTCGTGACCTGGACTAACTTTAGAATACGTTTATCTATCGGTCCGTTAGCGAGTGGGTGAGTCGGCAGCAGATGACGAAACACCGTTCTTACTAGAACCCTTCCTAAAGGGTACTTCGATTGACCAGGAAAAATGTTGCGCGGTCAGAGACACACGGATGCCCAGAAAAGACGACGCCTTCACTCTCGCTCTATATTGTGTTCCTATTAGCTAAGTGTGAATAACTAGAAGATAAAATTTTAGGGTGAGCCATAAGATGGAGGATTCTCATCGTCTAGAATAACGCTTTTATTTCCTTATCTAATCTTTTATCGCTCTTAAATGTCTATTACTGGGTTGCGCCCTAAAATAACTATCAATCCATATACCTCGCTCTCCTTCATTTTTGTTTCCTCTACTTCTGGGGACTTCTTCGCGACAACCTCACGAGTCGCTTCTCTCAAATTATTCTCCCCGCTTCGTTCTGGTACACACAGAAAATTTTCCTCTACTCCTATGCTCTCCCAAAAACAACCCCGCTGTCGTGTTGAACGGTTTTCTCTGTCCCTCCTCATGTACATCACAATTTTTCTTATCTCTCCGTAAAAGTACAACTGGGCCGTTGCATCGCGTCCCACATTTGGGCGATTCCTATTTTATTTTTCTCCTTATTGATTGATCATTCATATTTTGAATACGAAAATCATAGTTGTAATTGAGAACCCTAGCAATTGAGAAGATTAGTTTAAGGCTTTATTAGCGCATTCTGGTTCTGGGCCATTTTCATTTAGCGGGTGGTCCCAGAATAATCTGAAATACGTTAATCGGTCCGTTCACGACTCGGTTAAAAACTTTACAATCACATAATTATTTGAACTTTTCTAGTTTTTCAGCTGTTTACCGAATTCTATACACCTATTTTTTACACCTATTTTTTACGTTTTCAGTACGAAAACGGACCAAAAAGTGGTATTATTTCCGAAATCAGCAAATAGCTGGAAAAAGTGTAAGTGCAAAGTTTTCAATATAAGTTTGTTTTAAACCTTTCAAAGTTTTTGAAATGATTGAAAACTGAACAGCCTAGCTCCAGACTCCAGAATATGTATGGTCAAAGTGGCCGAAAATCAACTCAGACATGATGGATTTTTGGAAATTAAGTGTTTTTTTTTTAAATTGTGACCTAAATACTTCGAAAACTAAAAATTTCTCAGCTTGCATTTTATCATCATTGTGTTTCTCGTACTTGTTTTACCCTAAAAACAGCAAATCGCAATCTAATTTATCAAAATTGAGAGTTCGAAACTTTTTCGCGACCTCAAATTTTCAAATATCTCTAATGTGTGAATCAACTGGAAAATGCATTATTGTAAATTTTTGACTGGTACTGTATGCCAAAGAGATAAGAAATACCGAATAGAAAACGGAAGCAGTTCTCACTTTATGGCTAACCTCATTCAATTGAAATGGTCACATAGAACCGAAAGTAGAAAATCACCAGCAAAAAGACCCACAGATTTCAATAAAACCCGGATATAAAATCATGCAAAAAAACCCTACGTTGGCAGAAAATGTTAATCCCCCTCCACATATACCTTCTCTTATTCTCCTTGTTCTTTTTGTAGCTGTCCACTACAACTTTATTATCGTCCGCGAAGTGCTTCCCATATGGATTTTATTTTTCTCCTTATTGATTGATCATTCATATTTTGAATACGAAAATCATAGTTGTAATTGAGAACCCTAGCAATTGAGAAGATTAGTTTAAGGCTTTATTAGCGCATTCTGGTTCTGGGCCATTTTTATTTAGCGGGTGGTCCCAGAATAATCTGAAATACGTTAATCGGTCCGTTCACGACTCGGTAAGGATCAGGCAGACAATAATATATTTTGTAGACGGCAAGGGTCATGCACATTTGAGAGAAGAAGAAAGGGTCCTTGGTCGTTGCCATATTACTGTAGGCCAGTGTTCCATTATTATGAATGTTTGAGAAAAAACGGTGGAGAGCGGATATCTCGTTTCTCACAGACATAAAAAGAATTACCGTATTTTTGAGCCATTTCAAACTTAAATTAATTTGTAACCCGAAAAGTCTCAAAAATGGTACTGTATCTCTCCAAATGAACACCAATCTCTTTTCAAACTATCAAATAGAGCCAACCGACAACGCTGTGGCACCGCTCATTGAAAATTTTAAGTCAATTTAATTATTCTGTTTTACTACTTACCCATCTTTAATCGGATCCTTCTCAGTAGGTTCCACTGGCTTTTTTGCTCCAGAGGCACATTGGATTCTGTTTTCCTTTCCGCTCATTTTTGTAGTTTTGGACACTGAAGAATCTGAAAAAAAAAATGAGAAAATGACAATTATTAATTGTCTATCAAGTAAGAAATAAAGGTAAAATTTGAATTTTTCTAAACAAGGACAAACTACCATATTTTATTAGCTATTTGTTCTTTTTGGAAATTTATACAATAGGAGAATAAAGTTTGAAATGGCTCAAAAATACGGTAATTCTTTTTATGTCTGTGAGAAACGAGATATCCGCTCTCCACCGTTTTTTCTCGAACAGTCATAATAATGGAACACTGGCCTACAGTAATATGGCAACGACCAAGGACCCTTTCTTCTTCTCTCAAATGTGCATGACCCTTGTCCGTCTACAAAATATATTATTGTCTGCCTGATCCTTACCGACTCGTGAACGGACCGATTAACGTATTTCAGATTATTCTGGGACCACCCGCTAAATGAAAATGGCCCAGAACCAGAATGCGCTAATAAAGCCTTAAACTAATCTTCTCAATTGCTAGGGTCTCAATTACAACTATGATTTTCGTATTCAAAATATGAATGATCAATCAATAAGGAGAAAAATAAAATAGGAATCGCACAAATGTGGGACGCGATGCAACGGCCCAGTTGTACTTTTACGGAGAGATAAGAAAAATTGTGATGTACATGAGGAGGGACAGAGAAAACCGTTCAACACGACAGCGGGGTTGTTTTTGGGAGAGCATAGGAGTAGAGGAAAATTTTCTGTGTGTACCAGAACAAAGCGGGGAGAATAATTTGAGAGAAGCGACTCGTGAGGTTGTCGCGAAGAAGTCCCCAGAAGTAGAGGAAACAAAAATGAAGGAGAGCGAGGTATATGGATTGATAGTTATTTTAGGGCGCAACCCAGTAATAGACATTTAAGAGCGATAAAAGATTAGATAAGGAAATAAAAGCGTTATTCTAGACGATGAGAATCCTCCATCTTATGGCTCACCCTAAAATTTTATCTTCTAGTTATTCACACTTAGCTAATAGGAACACAATATAGAGCGAGAGTGAAGGCGTCGTCTTTTCTGGGCATCCGTGTGTCTCTGACCGCGCAACATTTTTCCTGGTCAATCGAAGTACCCTTTAGGAAGGGTTCTAGTAAGAACGGTGTTTCGTCATCTGCTGCCGACTCACCCACTCGCTAACGGACCGATAGAGAAACGTATTCTAAAGTTAGTCCAGGTCACGAAGAATTGTGCATACTATCAGAGAAAAGAAACATTGGCTATGAAGATCAGCTCGACAGTCCATGGATTCAGAGTTTGAAATACACCGATTGCAAAGCTCAACTTTCAGAATTTGAAAGTTCAAAGAAACATTTTAATGTTTAAAAAGTTTCATCTCTCATTCTGGCTATACGTGCTGTATGTGATAGAGACAATCCTTCGAGTTCACCCACTCCCTTTTCTACTATCTTTGGTGTTCTTGCCCATTTTCTGTAGGTTAGAGGTATGGTATGTTACAGTAGTTTCTGTTTCGAAACCCGCTGCAACAACCATCATTTTTCTGAACCAAAAAGTGAAGTTTTTGCTCAAAATTTTGACCTTTTATCTTTTCGAGTTCTGGACGAATAAAACTATTAAAAACGCCGAATTTTCAATTTTGACTATGCTATTTCCGGTCTCAAAATAGTCTATTACGTACCTAATAAGTTTTTTGAAGAGATCTTCTCTGGAATAATGCTTCTTGTCACAACGGAAGGAAGAATATAGAGAGCGAATATGCTTGCGTCGTCTCGGTTTACGAGAGAAGTGAACTACGGAGAAGGAATTGCGATGAGCCGCGAGACTTGGTGGAAGGCGATGCGTGTAAAAGACCCACGGACAGTATAGGAATGACAGAGCAAAAAACAGACTGAACATTCGGAAGAGAGGCAAGAAGGTGTTGTGGTGAGCCAGCAGACTTGGCGGCAGGCGGAGGGTGTTGATGACCCTCGGAGTGTATAAGAATGATGAGAGTGGAGAGAGAAGATTTCTGCAGTATATCGATTGTTATTCAATAGGTTAACGAAGAAGGAGAAAGAAGTGAGAATGGGGCATGAGTCACTCAATCGACCCTAAAAATCATACAGACTGAGTTTTATGTATCTGGGACTGTGCACCTTGGTAATCAATTCATGCCTCCTGGCAATCCACAAATGTGGAAATGGCAAATGGAGGAGACATTGGGATGTCATATTACAAATTAACGGTACAACACATATCGAGGGAGTTGAAAAAACATTACAATCTTTCCAAGTATTAGGTTGGCGGGAAAGTCTTTGTCACTCTGTTTGTTTAATCACTGTTCTCGTATATGGAGGCTGTGTATGATATCGACTTTAGTGAATAACAAGGTGATAAGAACCTTCCATATAAACAAGTCCCCATCTCCTTCCCTGCTCCTCATCTGTAATTGAAACGATAGTTTGTTCCCCACTGCTATTCACATCAGACATGTTTTGATTTCCTTTTTCCTATCTCACCCCACGATGAAAGGAATCGGAAACTTTCTTGAAAGAATGTGTACAACACACATGCCCCTCACTACAATACTATTCGCAATTGGTTCCATCGTTTCGAAAAAGATGACTTCTCGCTCGATGAAAAGGATCGCTCTGGGAGACCCCGTGAGTTGGATTTGGACAAGCTGAAGCACGCATTGCAATCGGATCCATTTCAATCTAGCCGTGAACTAGCTGTCACATTCGGAGTTCACCATAGCACAGTCCTTGAAGGTTTGAAGTCTCTTGGAATGAGAAAACTTTTTGTCGATTCATACCTCATCACCTGACTCAAGCCAACCTTGACCGCCGAGTCGACGATTCGATTACTCTTCTCTCTCTCCACGCGGGCGATCGATGGTTGGACCGGCTAATAACCGGAGATGAGAAGTGGGTCTTCTACGATAATCACCACAGGAAATCCCAGTGGGTTGGAGAAGGAGAGAGCCCACAGGATGTCCCAAAACCCGACCTTCATCCGAAAAAAGTTATGCTCTCTGTGTGGTGGGGAGTGGACGGCCCCATCTACTGGGAACTTCTGCCCGAGGGCAAAACAATAACTGGAGACCTCTACACTACTCAACTACGAAACCTCAAGAAAGCAGTCGACCGTTCGGCCCTGAAAGACCTGAGAGTGTACTATCAACATGATAACGCTCGCCCACATGTTTCGAAACAAGTGAAACAGGAGCTGATGGGATATGGATGGAATGATCTCCCTCACCCCCCGTATTCTCCTGATCTTGCTCCTTCCGACTATAGGTTATTTGGCGATATGACGCGAGCCTTCGAAGGAAGAAGCTTCAATTCCCGGGGAGCGGTCGAAGCGGCACTCAAACAATACTTTGCCTCACGCCCGGCTGGATTCTACCGCAATGGAATCCATAAATTGAGGGTACGTTGGAGACATGATGTTGATAAGGATGGACAATATAATTAATTAT